GTTTCTGGCCTTACATTTAGGTCTTGAATCCATTTTGAGCTTATTTTTGTGTATGGTGTTAGGGAGTGTTCTAATCTCATACTTTTACATGTACCTGTCCCGTTTTCCCAGCACCACTTATTGAAGAGGCTGTCCTTTCTCCACTGTACATTCTTGCCTCCTTTATCAAAGATAAGGTGACCATATGTGTGTGGGTTTATCTCTGGGCTTTCTATCCTGTTCCATTGATCTATCTTTCTGTTTTTGTGCCAGTACCATACTGTCTTGATTACTGTAGCTTTAGTCTGAAAGCTAAGTAGTATAGTCTGAAGTCAGGGAGCCTGATTCCTCCAGCTCCATTTTTTGTTCTCAAGATTGATTTGGCTATTCGGGGTCTTTTGTGTTTCCATACAAATTGTGAAATTTTTTGTTCTAGTTCTGTGAAAAATGCCAGTGGTATATTGATAGGGATTGCATTGAATCTGTAGATTGCTTTGGGTAGTAGAGTCATTTTCACAATGTTGATTCTTCCAATCCAAGAACATGGTATATCTCTCCATCTATTTGTATCATCTTTAATTTCTTTCATCAGTGTCTTATAATTTTCTGCATACAGGTCTTTTGTCTCCTTAGGTAGGTTTATTCCTAGATATTTTATTCTTTTTGTTGCAATGGTAAATGGGAGTGTTTTCTTGATTTCACTTTCAGATTTTTCATCATTAGTATATAGGAATGCCAGAGATTTCTGTGCATTAATTTTGTATCCTGCTACTTTACCAAATTCATTGATTAGCTCTAGTAGTTTTCTGGTAGCATCTTTAGGATTCTCTATGTATAGTATCATGTCATCTGCAAACAGTGACAGCTTTACTTCTTCTTTTCCGATTTGGATTCCTTTTATTTCCTTTTCTTCTCTGATTGCTGTGGCTAAAACTTCCAAAACTATGTTGAATAAGAGTGGTGAGAGTGGGCAACCTTGTCTTGTTCCTGACCTTAGTGGAAATGCTTTCAGTTTTTCGCCATTGAGGATGATGTTGGCTGTGGGCTTGTCATATACGGCCTTTATTATATTGAGGAAAGTTCCCTCTACACCTACTTTCTGCAGGGTTTTTAACATAAATGGGTGTTGAATTTTGTCAAAAGCTTTCCCTGTATCTATTGAGATGATCATATGGTTTTTCTCCTTCAATTTGTTAATATGGTGTATCACGTTGATTGATTTCTGTATAGTGAAGAATCCTTGCATTCCTGGAGTAAACCCCACTTGATCATCATGTATGATCCTTTCCATGTGCTGCTGGATTCTGTTTGCTAGTATTTCGTTGAGGATTTTTGCATCTTGGTCTGTAGTTTTCTTTCTTTGAGACATCCTTGTCTGGTTTTGGTATCAGGGTGATGGTGGCCTCGTAGAATGAGTTTGGGAGTGTTCCTCCCTCTGCTATATTTTGGAAGAGTTTGAGAAGGATAGGTGTTAGCTCTTCTCTAAATGTTTGATAGAATTCGCCTGTGAATCCATCTGGTCCTGGGCTTTTGTTTGTTGGAAGATTTTTAATCACAGTTTCAATTTCAGTGCTTGTGACTGCTCTGTTCATATTTTCTATTTCTTCCTGGTTCAGTCTCGGCAGATTGTGCATTTCTAAGAATTTGTCCATTTCTTCCAGGTTGTCCATTTTATTGGCATAGAGTTGCTCGCAGTAATCTCTCATGATCTTTTGAATTTCTGCAGTGTCATTTGTTACTTCTCCTTTTTCATTCCTAATCCTATTGATTTGAGTCTTCTTTTTTTCTTGATGAGTCTGGTAATGTTTTATCAATTTTGTTTATCTTCTCAAAGAACCAGCTTTTAGTTTTATTGATCTTTGCTATTGTTTCCTTCATTTCTTTTTCATTTATTTCTGAATTGATCTTTATGATTTCTTTCCTTCTGCTAACTTTGGGGTTTTTTTGTTCTTCTTTCTCTAATTGCTTTAGGTGCAAGGTTAGGTTGTTTATTCGAGATGTTTCCTGTCTCTTAAGGTGGGATTGTATTGCTATAAACTTCCCTCTTAGAACTGCTTTTGCTGCATCCCAGAGGTTTTGGGTCGTTGTGTCTCCACTGTCATTTGTTTCTAGGTATTTTTTGATTTCCTCTTTGATTTCTTCAGTGATCACTTCATTATTAAGTATTGTTTAGCTACCAAGTGTTTGTACTTTTTACAGATATTTTCCTGTAATTAATATCTAGTCTCACAGCATTGTGGTCAGAAAACATAACTGATACAATTTCAAATTTCTTAAATTTACCAAGGCTTGATTTGTGACCCACGATATGATCTATCCTGGAGAATGTTCCATGAGCACTTGAGAAAAATGTGTATTCTGTTGTTTTTGGATGGAATGTTGTATAAATATCAATTAAGTCCATCTTGTTTAATGTATCATTTAAAGCTTGTGTTTCCTTATTATTTTCATTTTGGATGATCTGTCCATTGATGAAAGTGGGGTGTTAAAGTCCCCTACCATTATTGTGTTACTGTCAGTTTCCCCCTTTATGGCCTGCTAGTTTTTGCCTTATGTATTGAGGTGCTCCTATGTTGGGTGCATAAATATTTACAATTGTTATATCTTCTTCTTGGATCGATCCCTTAATCATTATGTAGTGTCCTTCTTTGTCTCTTCTGATAGTCCTTATTTTAAAGTCTATTTTGTCTGATATGAGAATTGCTACTCCAGCTGCTTTCTTTTTTTCCATTTGCATGAACTATCTTTTTCCATCCCCTTACTTTCAGTCTGTATGTGTCTCTAGGTCTGAAGTGGGTCTCTTGTAGACAGCACATATATGGTCTTGTTTTTGTATCCATTCAGCCAGCCTGTGCCTTTTGGTGGGAGCATTTAGTCCATTTACATTTAAGGTAATTATCGATATGTATGTTCCTATTCCCATTTTCTAAATTGTTTTGGGTTCGTTATTATAGGACTTTTCCTTCTCTTGTGTTTTTGTCTAGAGAAGTTCCTTTAGCATTTGTTGTAAAGCTGGTTTGGTGGTGCTGAACTCTCTCAGCTTTTGCTTGTCTGTAAAGGTTTTAATTTCTCCATCAAATCTGAATGAGATCCTTGCTGGGTAGAGTAATCTTGGTTGTAGGCTTCTCTCCTTCATCATTTTAAATATGTCCTGTCAGTCCCTTCTGTCTTGCAGAGTTTCTGCTGAAAGATCAGCTGTTAACCTTATGGGGATTCCCTTGTGTGTTATTTGCTGTTTTTCCCTTGCTGCTTTTAATATGTTTTCTTTGTATTTAATTTTTGACAGTTTGACTAATATGTGTCTTGGCGTATTTCTCCTTGGATTTATCCTCTATGGGACTCTCTGTGCTTCCTGGACTTGATTAACTATTTCCTTTCCCATATTAGGGAAGTTTTCAACTATAATCTCTTCAAATATTTTCTCAGTCCCTTTCTTTTTCTCTTCTTCTTCTGGAACCCCTATAATTCGAATGTTGTTGCATTTAATGTTGTCTGAGAGGTGTCTGAGACTGTCCTCAGTTCTTTTCATTCTTTTTTCTTCATTCTGCTCTGCAGTAGTTATTTCCACTCTTTTATCTTCCAGGTCACTTATCTGTTCTTCTGCCTCATTTATTCTGCCATTGATCCCATCTAGAGCATTTTTAATTTCATTTATTGTGCTGTTCATCATTGCTTGTTTCATCTTTAGTTCTTCAAGGTCCTTGTTAAATGTTTCTTGCATTTCCTGTATTCTATTTCCAAGATTTTGGATCATCTTTACTATCATTATTCTGAATTCTTTTTCAGATAGACTGCCTATTTCCTCTTCATTTGTTAGGTCTGGTGGGTTTTTATCTTGCTCCTTCATCAGCTGTGTGTCTTTCTGTCTTCTCCTTTTGCTTATCTTACTGTGTTTGTGGTCTCCTTTTTGCAGGCAGCAGGTTTGTAGTTCCTGTTGTTTTTGGTGTCTGTCCCCAGTGGCCAAAGTTGGTTCAGTGGGTTGTGTAGGCTTCCTGGTGGAGGGGACTAGTTCCTGTGTTCTGGTGGATGAGGCTGGATCTTGACTTTCTGGTGCGCAGGTCCACATCTGGTGGTGTGTTTTGGGGTGCCTGTGGACTTATTACGACTTTAGGCAGCCACTCTGCTAATGGGTGTGGTTGTGTTCCTGTCTTGCTAGTTGTTTGGCATATGGTGTCCAGCACTGTAGCTTGCTGGACGTTGAGTGAAGCTGGGTCCTGCTGTTGAGATGGAGATCTCTGGGAGATTTTCGCCATTTGATATTATGTGGAGCTGGGAGGTCTCTTGTGGTCCAGTGTCCTGAAGTTGGCTCTCCCGCCTCAGAGGCACAAGAGTGACTCCTGGCTGCAGCACCAAGAGCCTTTCATCCACACGGTCAAAGCTCTGTGCCCCAGCTCATGGCGGAACTTGAGGCAACTCGAGGCGTCTGGCTGCCCTGCTGTCTGTCCGTCTGTTGGCTCTGCAGTCAGTCTGTCTGACCTCCCACTGGCAGGCTCGCAGCTCAGCTGCTCAGCCTCCAAAGGTGCTGCCACCGCTGGTTTCCCCAGTGAGGGAGAAAGACTCGACTCTTTTTGAATTATTGACCTAACAGCATTTCTGTCAAGTTTCCACATTTTGGCCCAATACATATAGAGTCTGGCTTCTCTATATGGTCTTTTGTTATAGGGTTACCCTCATAAATGTGATTTTGTGTGTGGGTGGACAGTGTAATAATTATTATATGAACAGCAAGCCGTTCAGAAAAAAATTCTGAGATTTAATAAAATAATTATCTTTGCTGAAAATAGAAATATGTGAAGTTTTAACAGTTCCAGACAAACAGGACCAAATTTGACTTTATGAAACCAGGAAGGCACTAAAAATTATATTCACAGCAAAATATTCATTCTTACAATTAGGTGCCCATGACACATGCTGATTTCCAAAATATACCAGCCATAGCACAACAGGGCAATAATAACAGACAGGTAAAATACATTATATTAAAAAAACCCACAATTATAAACACATGAAGATAAACTTACTGGTTCTCCTGCAAATCCCCTGTCTCCTGTACTCCCAGGGGGTCCTTGTAAACCCTGAATAAACAAAGGCAAAACTTGAAGAAAAAGTGATGCTTGAAAATGCTTTAGTCAGTTTCCCTACCTCAGCTTTCCCTCAAAATCCTCCCATCTAATTTTTCTGTCTACCGCTATTTGTTTATTTTTTTGTGGCAAAAATGCATAACATAAAATTCATCACTTTAGCAATTTTTAAGTGTATAGTATGTGTAAATTTACAGTACTGTGGCATTAAGTATATTCACATTGTTGTGCTACCATCACCACCACCTATTTTCAGAACTTTTTATCTCCCCAAATTGAATCTCTGTACCCATTAAATAACTCCCTATCCCCTACCCTCTTCCCCTGGCAACCATGACTCTACTTTCTGTCTCTATGAATGTGACTACTTTAAGCACCTTATATAAGTGGAATCATACAGTATTTGTTCTTCTGTGTCTGGCTTATTTCATGATGTCTTCAAGGTTCATCCATTTGCAACATGTGTCAAGACTTCCCTCCTTTTCAAGGTTGAATAATATTCCCTTGTATGCATATACCACATTTTGTTTATCCATTCATCATCAATGAACACTTGGGGTTTTCTACCCTTTGGATATTGTGACTAATGCTCCTATAAACATTGGTGCACAAGTATCTGTTTGTATCCCTGCTTTCCATTCTTTGGGGTATATGCGAAGAAGTGGAATTGATGGATTATAGGTAATTCTATGTTTAACCGTTTGAGGAGCTAGGCATACTGTTTTCCATAGCAGCTCCATCATTTTACATTCCCACCAGCATATCACAAGTATTCCCATTTCTCCACATCCTTGCCAACACTGGTTATTTTTTCTGTATGTATAGGTGTGTGTGTGTGTGTTTAATAATAGTCGTTCTGGATGGGAAGTGGTATCTCAATGTGGTTTCGATTTGTATTTCCCTAATGACTAGTGATACTGAGCATATATTCATATATTTATTGGCCGTTTGTATAACTTCCTTAGAGGAATGCTTACTCAAGTCCTTTTGCTCATTTTTTCATTGTGTTGTTTATTATTTTATTGTTGAGTTGTAGGAGTTCTTTATATCTACCTGTATTCTTTATATTTAATCTCCACTCCTATACAGTGACAAATATTTGTCATCCAGAATTATTTTAGATTCAGATTCATTTATACTTTTAATATCAATATAAAAAGTTTTTTTCAAAAATAATATACTTGTGATGTATTAATAAGTATGACTTATGACCTAGGAAGGCACAAAGCTCTCAGAACCTAGATGACCAGAAATGATCAAATCGGACCTCTCCAATGTTCTTTATTTTCCTCCATTTTTACATCATGCCATCTATGGTACCATAAAATTTAGTCTTAGATATGGGGGTATATTCTAAAATGGTATGTAAAACTCTAAATTAAATTCCAGGTCCTCTTTGATCCTTCCATTTAAAGATTAACTGAGCATGTACTGTGTGCCGGACACAGATGACTACTAATGATGTATAAAATACTGCCCTTGTTTATTTGCAATTTGCTTCTTCTACTCTTCTACGTTACTGACCTTGGGAAATTTGGCAATTATACAGCAGATCACAATTACCATTTTATCTTAAAATTGAAATCTAAAAAAATATATTAAATTAGAAGTAAAGACGTTCAATACTTCTAGCAACAAAGAATCTTCTAAGTTATGATTATCAATGCTACGTTTAGTTACATATGATTGTCTGGTTAGAGAAAGGGAGATATGCAAAATCTCATGGACTCCTATTGGAGTAAGACCATGTTTCAATCATGAAAATCATCTGCTACTCATGTACTCCAGACTCCTAAATTAAGGGATCCCTCTGTGCCTGGTATGCCAATTGAACATACAGCAAGAGTTCAGAACCTTAAATAATGTCTGCCCAGTTTGCTTTGTAAAGTGTGTTTGCACACAATATTAAGCTTAATATGTACTTGTAATACTGTTAATGGTGCATAAATGCTGTTAGGCAAAGCTATGAAATGACCTAAATGGATTCTAATTATTTTTATTGGAGATGAAGAAGAAAAGCAAAAGCTGGCACAAAATAAAAATTCCCTTTAAGGCTTTTCAGATGCTACTGAAATACATTATTTGTAGTACAACTCCTTGCTCTATGATGCATCTCAGCAATTATGGCAACGATGACCAGGAGGATAATGACTATGGTGGTTGCTATTTATTGACAGCCTGTGCTGAGCACATAATGAGCATCATTTGTTATAACTATAAAAGGTATCTCATTTTAATGATAGGGAAACTGAGGCTCAGAAAGGTTAAATAATTTGTACAAAGTCAAAACAGCTATAAGTGACAGAACCAGAATCTGACCTCGAATGTGTCTGACTCCAATGCCATGCTCTTCCACTACCCTAAACTGCTTTTTACTGAATTCCATGAGAAATCAAGCATCCAATGCCTTTCCATTTTAAATAAACATCTTTCGAGCATCATCAAGACATTTTATGAGAATAAGCAAGGGACTATATAAATGTTATTTCTATTGCCACACTTTCACTGTAGGATCATGAAAATGTGTGCATTCTGCTTCATTGTCTGAAGAACGGGAAAGAATAGAGTTAATACTGTATACTTTTTGTATTGTAAAGATTATGAAATAAATGCTTCTCAAGTATTCTGAGTTACTACAGAGAAAACTATATTTAAAGAAGAAATGCTAAGTGTTTCCACTTCCAATATTGGCCAAGTTGCTCCTATCAAACCGATCTATATAGAGATAAGTATAAACCCAAGATAAAATATTAAAAAGGAAAGATATGAAAGCACTGAAGAAAGACCAAAAATAGGCAGGAACTAGAGTGGTAGGGTCTACACTTGAAAGAAGGAATGTCACTAGGTGAGTTTCTGATTTTTTTATATGGCTTTTAGCCAGAGGAGAAGCCATACAAGATGGTTAAGATAAAGTAGGATAGAAACCTTCAGTCTTCTTGGCATGGAGGACCCTAGGGCAGAATTTGAAGTGACCATAGGTGGTGAAAATTGGTGAAAGAAAGAGCCAAAGAGGAGCCTCAGATTGCAAATATAAACTCTGCTTATAGCTCTTGCTGACATTTAAGGTTTGTATTGGTATGGTAGACTACAAGTAGCCCAGACAAGGCTAAAAGAACTTAATAGAGATTTCAGCAGCCACCTACCACAGAGGAGAGAAAATTTGGAGTTTTACCAGTCAAGTTGACTGCCTGCCAAGTTAAAAACAAAACAGTACTCTTCAAAGAAATATAACAGACTTTAGAGTCGGTAAAATGAATCAGTCAAAATGTTCAAGATACAATTCAAAATTATCAGACAGGGAAAATTTCCCATATTTATAAGAAAAGGCAATTAATGGAGACCAAACTCAAGATTACAAAGATGTTATGATGTATCACACAACGATTTTAAAGTAGTTAGTATAACTATGCTCAATAATGTAAATAAAAATGTACTCATGATGAATAAACAAATAGGAAATCCCAGAAGAGAAAGAGCATTTGTAAAAAGAAACAATGACAATTATAGAGCTGAAAATTAAATATCCAAATAAAACTTAAAAATACAATATCATAAATAAAATTTTATTGAAAGGCTTAACAAGTTAGAGAAGATAGATTCCGGTTGCCCAATTGGAAAAAAAAACAAACAAACAAACAGGAAAAAGAAAGATTGAAATAGGAAGGAACAGGGCCCCAGGGATCTAAGGTAATCAAAATGACTAACATATATTTACTTAGAATACAAGAAGGAAAGGAGAGAGAAAATGGTGTAGAAAAAAATATCCTAAAAAGAAAGTTGAAAAATTTCCAAATTTAGTGAAGGCAAATTTACACATGCAAGAAACTCAGAAAATATGAAGCTGGATAAATGTGAAGAAAATCCATCTGGACACATCATAGTCAAACTACTGAAAGCCAAAGATAAAGAGAATCTTGAAAGCAGCCAGAGAAAAATGATACATTATATGCAGGGGAATAATGATAAAGCTAAGTGTGGACTTCTCATCAGAAATAATGCAGGCCAAAAATAAATGGCATGTCATCTTTACAATGCTGAATGGAAACAAACAAACAAAAAACCACGTTGACCCAGAATTCTATAACCAGTGAAAATATCCTTCAAGAATAAAGGTGAAATAAAGAAAAACTAAAAGAATTCATCACTAGAAGAACCTGACTGTAAGAAATCTAAAGGAAGTTCTATAGGCTGCAGGGAAGTATACCACTTAGAAATGTGCATCTGTAGAAAGGAATGAAGAGCACCAGAAATAGTAAATGCATGGATAATTTTAAAAATTACTACTTTCCTCCTAAATATCTCTAATGTATGTTTCATTTATATTAAAGTAGAATTTTAACTTTGCAATATGGGGTTTATAACTTATATAGATATAAAACAAATAGAGCATATAAGACAGGATGCTGGTAAACAGGCCTCTATGGCTGCAAGTTTCTTACAATTATGTTAAGTATTACTGTATTAACTCTAAGTAGACAGTGGAAAGTTACAATGTGATCCCTAAACCACGGGTTGGCAAACTACAGTCTGAGGGCCAAATTTGGACCATCAGCTGATTTTGTAAATAGTTATTTTTGAATAGTCATGCTCATTGCTTTATATACCATCTATGGTTGCTTTCACATTATGATGACACTAGAGCTGAGTAGTTGTGACAGAGACCATTTGGCCCACAAAGCCTGAAATATTTTGTGGCACTCTACAGAGAGAGTTTGCTGACTCCCGACCTAGAATAACCACTTAAAAGTAATAATGAGAAGTAGAGCTAAAAAGCGAATAGTTAAATTAGAGTGGAGTTCTCAAAATCATTCAGTGCCTAAAGAAGGCACTGCACACCACCACTGCCGCCACAACAGAGGAGAAACAGACATAAAAAATGGTGGACCTAAATCCAACCACATCAATAACTACATTAAGTGGAAATGGAGCAAACACTAATTAAAAGGCAGAGGTTTTTGGAATGAATAAAAAGGTAAGATCTAACTTTAAGACATTCACTTTAAACATCAAGGCACAGATGGTTTGAAAATAAATGAATGAAAAAGATATGCCATGCAAACAGCTAGAGAGACTTACATATCAAATAAAGTAGATTTCAAAACAAACAGTATTACCAGGGATAAAAAGTATTACCAGAGATACAGAGGAACATTTTGTAATGATAAAAGGCTCAGCTGATTGGGAAGACATAGTAATCATAATGTGAATACTTTAAAAATAGTTTCAAAATACGTAAAGCAAACACTGACAGAATTAAAGAGAGACACAGACAAATACCAAATCATAGTTGGAGAATTTAATACCCTTAACTCATCAACTGAAAGAATATCTAGATAAAAATCAGTAATATATGAGCTGTTATAGTTTTTATAAGATTTAGAAAACTAAAACGTTACTCAGGCTTTATCACCTTAATAACACAATGAATCATATCCCTTCTTCTTGATTCGCCCTTTGAGTCAGATATACGTGTGGATGTAAGGCAAGTATAGGAAACAATGTTGGCCCATAGACAAATATACTTCTCCTGTTTATCTGGACTAGCAGAGTACTATATGTGTTACCAATCTCCTTGTAATACCTAGCTTTAGAATTATGACAATTTAGAGATGTATCTTTATTTTACAGATGAAGAAAATATGATCCAGAGAGCTAACCAATCTAACCAAGACTATACAGCTATTAGGAGCGTGCACTAGAACAAAGGTCAATCTGATCTCCAGTGTATCTTTCTATTATACAGCACTGCCTGCTTGTTGACAGTGCATAAATGATGAGAGACACTGAGATTACCGTGCAGGATCAAATAAATCTTTGGGGCATCTGGATTTTTTGGATTAATTGATCCAAGCTTCCCTGAGATCTCAAAAGTCTCTTTCAGTTCGATCAAGATCGAGGAGACAATGTAGGTATAAAGTTAAGAAAACCTCAACAACTAGTGTTAACTCATGATTTACTGTCTCTCACTAAGGTAACTTTACTCTTCCGGTAGTCTACGAAACTTGTTTGCCATAAGCTACCGTTACAAAATGGTTCTAGTAACTTTTATTTGATTGAGAAAATCAAATATCAAATTTTACATTTATCCATGCATATCTGATAGGCTGAAAATGAAGGTAAAACTCTAAGGAATGTCAACAATGTACAAAATGAGTAAGTAATTTTATTTCTCTTGGCCTCATTTTTCTAAAGTAAGAGGAATGGACCTGATAAATTCCAAATTTCTCCACTCAACTACAACATATTGGTTTTGTATACAGTGTAGCAAAGTGGAAAGAATCTCCAGAAACACCATTTACAATGATATAATAGAAACTTAGATGATGAATATTAATACTCAAGGAATGTTCTTTGGCGATGACTTCAATTAATAATATAATGTCCCACAGAAGTTCTTTCCCTGGATACAGTCATTCTTCTCTTTTAAGTCTCTGCTGCTTTAGGTTTGACCATTGGTAAATATAATGCTATTATGGGAAACAACCGGCAGGGGGCAGCAGATTTCACAGAGGAACAAGTAAATGCAGTGACATTAGTGATAATTACTACAGCAGCTAAAACATTTTTGTCCTCTCCTTTTCTGACTCTTCAGTTGCAGTATATTTAAATTATGATCTAATTTAATAACTTTAAATTATACATATATATATATGACAAATCAAAATGTCATTAAAAATTATGATTACAAATGGAATTAAAAACCCATACATTTAAGCTCATGTGCTCAAAATTATATATGTATATATGTGTAATATATATGTGTGTGTGTATATATTTCTCTTTCTTAACAAATACACTTTACTCCCCCTCAGTTAGTGATGATAACCACAGAACTTGTGTTCCAGAGAAGGAATTGTATAATTCTGAGATTTTTGATGGTAGGAAAATATTTAGCATTATATAGTATTAAAAACTCTTAGAGCAGTGCCATGGGAAAACATAATGACACATATAGCTCCACACTCCAAGGGTGCAAACAACACTCAAGGTGAGTTGAAATGAAACTAGGCAAGAAGCCTCAAAGAAGTTTCTTATGTTAGCTTTATTAATATTCTGTTATATTTACATGACATCATACCACTTTATCTTGAAGTGGATTTTACAGAAAAACTATGATAGAAGAGGTGAAGTAAAAGTATCAGTTATCACCACTGGTTTATAGATATAGGTACAAAAAAGGCCCAGATTGAGTAAGCAATTTGCCTCAATAAAAGACTGACCCAAGGACTGAAGAAGGAAAAGAACTTGTATTCTCTTAGTCTAAAATACTGATTACTAAACAAGAGTTGTATCAGAGAATAAAGTGGATAAAATTTGCTTATAGCTTGGCAATTTTTAATTACTTACTTGTTTCCCTTGAACTCCTCTCTCTCCAGGGTTTCCAGTCTTACCCTACATAAGAAAGAAAATGCCTGGGTCAAGCAACTTCCTCCCCAAATATGAATCACACACCAAGAAAAATGGAAGATATTATATGTTCATCTTTAATGTGAAATATTTTACTACTTACAATAAGACCATAAGGCCCTCTTTTTCCTTGATCTCCTTTTTCACCCTAACAAGAATCAATACCAGGTGAGTTAATCAGAATGTGAATTATGGTCTTATACACACTAACATACACTCACATACCAAAAAATAAGACATCAAATACATAGTTCAATAATAAAAAGAATATATTTCTGTGTGTGTAGTAAAAACTTTATGTATGTTTCATACTTAGACTAAGAAAAAATTTAGAACCATACTTTTATAAGGAAATACATCAGTGTTTAGACAGGTAGGACATATGGGCTCAAAAATATTTAACTGTGTATGAAATGAGAAAATAAGTGATTACCTTGGCACCTTGTATACCTTGTTCTCCTAAGAGACCATCTGGTCCTCTTGGTCCCTAGAGATGGAAAAAATATCTTGTTGTTAATTTTAAATGTTTCTTTTTTACTGTTATGCATCCTTACAAATGGAGACACTGGACTCCTTTTTAGTTGAAAAACTCCTTTTGCTTGTTTCTGTGCCATGAACACAGTAAAGAATACAGTTAAGTGTATGGATGAACCCATTTGCAGGCGAGAATCAGGCCAGTGTTTTCAAGATTTAATGACAAATAGTAAATCAGATGACCAGAAAAACAGCTGATTCAGTTGTTGAGGTAGCTATAGCATAGGTTTGTTACTTGAGTATTTTGTTTACCTTATCCTTTACTCTGCAGAAATCCAGGATTTATTCTAAAAACAACTCTAAATCAACTTTAAAGTGGCTGGTTTGTTTGTCCAAACAGTCTTCCTAAGTTTTATATTTTTGAAATGGAACTCTTCTCATCACTCTATTAGAAAAAGAATGCTGACTGCACTGTTCCCCGCTATGCACCTGCTTGACAGCTGAAAGATGGCAAGGGGCACAGAAAAGGAATAGAAAATGTTGCTGGGAATGTTCATGTAAATTTAAAACTTCTCAGCTATGTTGCTATCAATATTAATTCAGTAATTAGTTATGAAGAAGCATTAGTTGCAAAAGTCATTCTCTAATGAAAGAGGACAGTATATGTTCCTTGCCTAATTATAACTGTCCTTGGAAGATCTTAAAGTCCTTTGCAAGGGAATTAATTTAATTCTACAACCATTAACTGAACATATACTGTGAAAAAGGCGCTGCATTAAGTGTTATGGGAATCCGCATTATGAGATAAGGTAAATTATATAAATAACTATAAAATAGGCAGAGATATTGTGTGTTAAGGGCTAAAGGGATCAAAGGAGGGAGAGAGCTTTCACACGTTTGTAAAGGGAATGAAGATATTATTTTGACAGTCAGAAATAATGCTCTAAAAGAAATTCTAGATGGAGGCATAGTATGAGAAAAGGGTAAAGAAGCAGGAAAAAAGATAATTAAGAATGAAAAAACTAGTTTGTTTAGCTGAGCTGGTGATTACATGGAGTATTTCTATACGAATAAACAATTGTGAAAAGACTGGGATTTAAAACGTGAAGGACTTGAGTTTATATTTGAATCAATAAGCAATGAGGAGGCGCTGAAGATTTCTATACAAAACAGTGATACAAATCTCCCAATAGAGCATATGCTGATTTGAAGAAGACCCGTAGGCTTCAATATCTTCTATTGTATCCCATCTGAGGCCAGCTTAGTTTAGCTTTACACTATTAAAAAGCTGCTTACTTCCAGGAAGATCCCACATGCCGCAGAGCAACTAAGCCTGTGCACCAAAACTACTCAGCCTGCGCTCTAGAGCCCGCAAACCACAGCTACTGAGCCCGCGAGCCACAACTACTGAAGCCCGCGCACCTAAAGCCCGTGCTCCACAACGAGAAGCCACCGCAATGAGAAGTCCACGCACCACAACAAAGAGTAGCCCCTGCTCCGTGCAACTAGAGAAAGCCCGCGTGCAGCAATGAAGACTCAATGAAGCCAAAAATAAATAAATTTGAATAAATAAATTAAAAAAAAAGAAATGAAGGAGAAGATATCACTACAGACCACTGAGACATTAAAGGGAAAATAAGGGACTACTATTGATAGAAACAACTTTTCACACATAAATTCTACACCTTTGGAGTAAACTGACCCATTCTTCAAAAGCAAAATCTCAAAACAGGTCAAGGACAAAGAGATTATTTGCATAACTTTGTATCTATTAAAGAAATTGATTTGTAAATAAAAACCTTCTGAAATAAAAATCTCCAGACACCCCCCCCAAAAAAATAAAAAAGAAAAAAACTGCTTGCTGTCAACAGGACTCTCTTCCTTGGTGCCCTTAGGGTAAGTGAAGCCCTGATCCTCTTGGACACATCCACAGGATTGGAGAGAAGACTCACACTCCACGAGGATCTATAGCTCCACTGGGCATACTAAAGCTAAAGCCAAAGCCATAGCTCTAGCCCTACAATTTCTGTCTATATTTAAGGTACTCCATGATCTGTCCCCAGTTTACTTTTTGATCCTATTTTCCCATAAAAGACTGCAAAACTAAGTTAAAGTATTAATGTACAGGACCTTGAATGTCAAATTGAGGAGTATGGACTTAATAGATAAGTGACTTTCAAAGTGTGTTGTTGTTCATTCAACAAACATTTACTGAGTGCCAACTATAAGCCAGGTATTGTTTTAGGCCCAGAGGATACAGTAGGGAGAAGAGACAAATCCCTGAATTTATAAACAAGCAAACAGATATAAAATTAAAATATAAAATGACTATAGGTAGTCAAGTGTAATGAAGAAAAAAAAAAGGAGGTTAAGGGACTAGAAGGAGCCCAAGGTGGGGGGCCCCACTTTAGATCAGGGTCTGAGAAGGCTCTCTAAAGTGACATGTGGGTAGATCTGAAGGAGCTGAGACTGCAGGCTATGCAAATAACTTGGGGAAAATCATTCTGGCAGGAGAAATAGCAACTGCAAAGGTTCTGAGGTGGGGGCTTCCTTGGAATGTTTGACAATTAAGTAACTGAAGATGGAAAAAAAGAACAATGTTTAAAGGATGACTCTGAAGTTTTAAGTGCAAAGATCCCTCAGGACCTTGCTCCAGTAGTCACCTTCATCTTATCAGTAGCCTGTATTGATTCTCTTTCTCCAGCACCTTCTATGCTTATTTTCTTTTTTCTGCCCTGTAAGAAAACACTTTCCAAATTTTTTTGGAGTAATAACAGCACGTGGCTGAGAAAATATGAAAAGGAATCAGTGGTTAGCATTCTAAAATACCACAGAAAACAAGTAAGATCTAGAAATGTATCCACTGGTAACTAGGCACTTAACTCCTTTGCAACACGAAAGTTCTGACTTTCTTGGATATTTTGTTAGTAAGTAACCAGTGGAATTATGACAGCATTAATATAAAAACAAATTGGAAGTGTAAGTTTGTTTAGGGTAGAAAGTGGGGGGAGTGGGGAGAAGATAACAATTTTGACTCTAGACAACCAACCACAATGGTAAATCCTCCAAGGCTAATGCTAGAGTTAGAAGTCATTCTGTCTAGGTTTAAAAGTTAGCAGCCCATAAGGATAAAGCTTCAAAAGGCCCCCAAACATAGAGTAATAAGTTAAAAAGAATTTTTAAAAATTGTTTGGTCCAAAAATGATTGAAAAAAGTCTCATTTCTTAGATAAAAATAAGATTAAGTGGTTGCCTAGATATATATGCAGAAAAGCCTGCATTGAGCTCAGGAAGAAAGTCTCATAATTAACTGCCAGTTTCTGCCTCAGCACATAGATCACCCACTGTCAAGGCTGAACTAGTCTAAACCCTGCTTTGTAAGATGAAGCAACTGAAGCCTGCAGATATCAATATAAGTGAGTCACCTGATTCACATAATGTCTAAATGTCTAAAGACTTTGAATAACTATGCTTTATTAAGTTTATAATATTTTTTCAAATGTTAAAAAATAAATAGATGTAATCCTGTTATCAAGTGAATTCAGGCTGAAATAGAGGACGTGAAGTTTAGAAGAAGCTTACAAAATGAATATTAAACACGAGTAAAATGCTGATTGGTATTATAGTTGAAAGGAACTCCCTCCAAAATTAAGGAATACTTTAATGATAATCACTCATTTTTTAATGTTTTCTATTAAAAAATATTTTTACTTAAAAGTACTTTCACATTTATTATTTCATTTACTAAACCAGGACTAGACAGGGAAAAAAGAAAGAGAAGTTTCTGCTCCCACTGTGATGACAAAGGTAACCACATTAAGTTAAAAAAAAAGTCTAAGTACAACAATTATATTTAATTAAAGGCTATAAAGCCTGAGGTTGCTAGTTAAAGAGGTTAAGGCTGGCAGACTCTAGGAAAGTTTGGTCTTCTCTATGCTTCAGTTAAGGGTTGGTTAATTAGCTAAAAGCTTAGCTTTATCAATATCTGCAAGTTTCACTTTGATATTGGTTGTAGAAGTTATCCCTGGAGTTATTCTTCGACTCCTGAGACATAACAAGCTTCAGGACAAGCTATAAGACAAGCAATATTATAATAGGTACCTAATTGGGTATAAAGTTATTTTTTCTAATACCCGCCTTAAAATCTCTACCTATAAAGCTCTTGAAGAATGTACTCCGGTTAAGTTTAAAAAAAAATCTAATCTTTTCTTTATCCTCTTTTGGAAAAGTTAAAGTTGGCTACAGGTAACTCTCCCATCAAACAATCTCAAACTACATGAATATTTTCAGCCAATCCTGTTATTTTTTTCAGTTATATAAGGGGCAGGATTACACAATCTTCATAAAACTAGTTAGAAAAATTTTCACAATACTAAGTTGCTTAGGTTATTTCCTGAGATGGCAGGTATTGTTGCTTGTCTGAGCTTTTGCTATTCTGTCAATATTGTATGATACTTTAAAAGCCACTGGACTGTAAGTCATTAAACCGTAAAATCCATGTGGTTTAGATCTAAGAAAAAGTTAACCTTGAATCCTCCATGATAGTAAGAGAGTGTTTGACAGATGGTATTATATCAGTAAATGTTAGATAGATGAATGGCAGATGGATGGATAGGAGAGAAGCAGAAGGACAGGCAGACTCCTTGGGTTGTGGTCCTACCATTCATGATGTTTGCATGTTCACCTATGATAACAGTACAAATCACAGGCAGAACAGCAAGGGCACACAAGCACTAGTTTCATAATGAGAGTTCTTTGTGTGGCCTCCTAGTGCAAATGTGCCTAGCTTCCCCTCCAATGTACTGTGACACAGCTGTGCGTCATAAAGTGTTACAGGTGTGCTGGAAATATTGACTCCCTCAGCCTTTGGGGTAGCAAGAAAGGGCTGGGGCACAGGAATTCCCAGCCAGATACTTTTTTCATTTATCCCTGTGGGCTGGACATATATTCTCATTTTTTGTGAGTGAAAAATGTTTGTAAGGATATTTATTATGATCACATCTATAGTGGAGAATAGATTGGAGAATGGATTGATGGGAGAAGAAGATATTAGGTGATAATTAGAATGGAACTTCATAATACTATATTCTTTCCCAAATATACTGGTCTTTAGTTCTTTTTGATATTCCCAATGTTCACTGATTATCTGAAATATTCTCCTGTAAAGGAAGCACTTTTGCATTAAACAAAGCCCTTATTTCTAAACAAAAAGACCTTGTTTAGAAAATACTGGTGAACTTTAAATAATTATGAGAAGCCATTTGGGAACAAATCAGTAAAACGTATTTGGAGGATGAGAGGAAAATAGACACTTGAAGAGGTGAGAATTGAAAACAAGGTGTCAAATCAGAAAAGAGTAATGATTTGCCCAAGGATCATAGGGAGGTTAGAAAACTGCAGAGAATATGAACTTTCCATATGACTTATCAGATAGTACAAGTGGTTCAGAAACATATCTTGCTTAGGTACATGGCTTATGCCTGGATAATCAATAAGACCTCAATTACTTAGCTATTAACCAAAGTAAGTATTTCTGTTTTTTAAAATCTTTCACAAAACTGGTTGAACTTTCCCACTATGAGTAATACAAAGTTGAATAAACACATTTGACCTAACCAAGTACTGAATGCTGGCAAGGTACAGACCACTCAAATGACAGAGTACAGATCATCTTCCACGAGTTTTTATTTTATTATTTTAAATCTCATTTGGGCTAAAACAGATGTGGCCATCAGGATTATTTATAGAATGTAAATCCATAAGCCAGAAAGGAAAATAGTTTTTCAGAAAAGAAATGACAATACAGAAAAATTTGCTCTCTTTCTTTAATCTTCACCTAAAACACAGCACATGAAATTAAAGTCGTTATTTATTTATTTTGCCTATTTTCTTTTCTTTTCTTTCTTTCTTTTGGCCATGCTGCACAGCTTGCAGGATCTTAGTTCCCTGACCAGGGATTGAACCTGGGCCACGGCAGTGATAGCACCAAATCCTAACCACTGTACTGCCAGTGAATTCCTAAAGTTGTTATTTTAAACCGAGCATTTGTCTCCCATTTGCCAACTGGAAAATGGCAGTTAAAAAAAAAAAAAAAAAACTTTGTTATTTGGAGGCCATGTTTTTAGAATTTTATAATATTTTCTTCACTAGCTGTAAAAGTCAAGGTAAAGCCAAGGGAGAAAACAGAGTTCTTAAAGCCCACATATTCAAATTAATCAAGGAAAAATACTCTAAAATTCAATAGGGGTATTGAATAAGCATACGGTTTGGAATCAGACACACTAAGGTTTGAATCCTGGTTGTGCCATAGACCTGCGTGTCTACAGTTCATATACTTAAACTCTCTGAGCCCCGTTTTCCTCAACTGTGATATCTGAGATAAATGCCTCTCCTTCCTAGAGTGGTTTTGAGTATTAGGTTAGATGGTATATGTAAAAGTGCCTGGCACGTGACAGGCATGCAATAAATGGTGGTTCTTATTTCTTTAAAGGAAAAAAAAAAAGGATTTAATGTTTAAAAGACTTAAAGAGTGAAAGGTTTTAATTTATTCTTATGCATAATTATTAGACAATGATGACATATTACCTCTTATTTACAGTGAATAAACTCTTAGTCATCCTGTGTATTCTTATTCTACTTCTTATCACTCTTATTCTGTCATGCTGTTACTATCCCTTGCTATAGAAGTCTCTTGTGAGTAGAAGAATAATTTAAACATCTTTGTGTTCACAATTCCCCCAAAGAATGAAACTGGAAGTTGGGAATAAGAAAGAAGAATTCTTTGTCAATAAGTGAAATTTCTAAAACACAAAATGGAAAAGTATGGTTTTATAAATACAAATGATTATGAATTACATTTAAATTAATGTAGGTAGGTCATCTAATATAATGAAAACAAGAAAAAACCCAACAACCTCTAAGCATGATCTAGAAGATATAGAGCTATTTTTGCTGAATGCATCACTATTTATGACACCATTTTTTAAAAGGTTAATGCACTTCCTTGATTAGACAACTTACTCTTTGTCCTTTAGGACCTGGACTCCCAGGTGGTCCTCTTGCCCCCACAGGACCCTACATGTTGAAAATTTAAAAATCAGTTATAGAATTAACAGGAATGTTACGAGAACAGTAGTTACAACCTTTCTTATGATATGTAATTCTCCTTGGGAATTCTTAAAATAAAATTGATTAGTCTCCTTTAAAAATATGCTTTAATTATTAAACAAATACCATACTACCCTCCCCCAGTATTCTGCTTCTGACATAGTCTACTATTTGGAGAAACTCAATTTCTAAGTGTTTACACCCTGAAAAAAAAGGGGAAGTATTTAATATTCACTGACCACATAGTTTTTAGGATGAGCACATATGGTGGTGGGAGACACAACACATAAGTGAGACACCCACTTAGCCAGTCTGACCAGTCTAATATGCCTGGTCCATCAAAGAAGCAATGGCTACTTTTGCAAGATTTCTTTCTCATTACTCTAGATACTTATGATAATCCCATCACATAAAAATAGATTTTTTTCTGTTACCGTGAAAAATGCCACAAAATTTTCCCAATTTACATGCCACAAAAAAATAGCCTTAAAAGAAGATTAAGTTGTTATTTGTTACTAAGTCAAGTACAATGAATTATTTTTATACCCAATGGTCTCCAGTGTTCAGAAGACAAAATTTATTTATCTATATAACACAGGTAGATAAAAACAGTGAAATTTCACAGGATCTCAAATCTATTTCTTATCTTACATGAGTAAAAAGATTGGCAACTGTTCCCTAGATCAGTCTTCCTCATTTTAGAAGTCAATGACACATCTATCAGTAGGCTGGAAGATTGGGCTTATCTTCAAAACAGAAGCTTCACAAAACAGCATAAAACATTTCTGATAATAGTTCTGCTTAGGGGATCACAAAGGCTGATATTCTTCACATTTAAGTTCACAATAACTTTCAAATTTTAATAAGCAAACTTTCTCTGTAGAGACAAGGCTTCATTATCTTTCTGTAACCACAAATGGAGTTTTTCAAAACTCAGTTTTTGAATAAAGGTATATTTTCCATGAATTTTATCAGTTTGAGAATATGTGGAAATTTCTAAGAACAACATGTTGGAAATTGTGCTTGTGATTTGTTTGTCCAATAGGTCTAAGCTTGATTACTGACTCTGTTTTCTTATATGTGGTTATTCAAAAGAAAGTTTAGATATTTTTTTATTTTAGGCTACAGATCTATACTATTAGAAGTGAGCAGTAAATAACAGAGCAAGTAGAAGTGAGGAGGTTCAAGATACAATGATATATTCTAGAGTGTTTTGCATTGACTGGGAAGAGAAGTCTTTTCTATACTTACAGGTAATCCCAGTGGACCCATGGCTCCTGGAGCCCCAGGAGGACCTGGATATCCCTATAATTTAAGCAAAAATATAAAAGACATAAATTCTCCATCACATCTAACTATTTTCATTGAAGACAAACAAGTAAATTATAAATAGTAATTCAAAATGATAATGTGATAAGATCTCCCTCTACTATCCAAGACATAAGAGACCACAGGAAATGTTCCAGAGATAGACAATAGAAATAAAAAATGTTTACATAGAAGATGGGTACACTTTAAAGAGAAACTCTTTGCCTAGAAATAAAATTTGCTAGCCAGAATCACATACTATAACCTACTGAGAAGAGAATATTCATCTCACATTTCTGTAGGCTGTGTTATGCTATGAAAAGATGTATATTATGTTATATAGATTGTGAAACCATATCATTTTCAGATGTCAGGGAATTCAATAATTAAGAAATGTGGGCCTCTTCAGGGGACTCCAAGACCACCAGCCGTGTGGCTGACTGTGTCTTCGTGCTCTGGCTGGGTGTCAGGCCTGTGCCTCTGAGGTGGGAGAGCCAAGTTCAGGACATTAGTAGACCAGAGACCTCCTGGCTCCATGTAATATCGAATGGTGAAAGCTCTCCCAGAGATCTCCATCTCAACACTAAGACCCAGCTTCACTCAAGGACCAGCAAGCTACGGTGCTGGACACCCTATGCCAAACAACTAGCAAGGCAGGAACATAACCCCACCCATTAGCAGAGAGACTGCCTAAAATCATAATAAGGTCACAGACACCCCAAAACACACCACCGGACACGGTCCTGCCCACCAGAAGGACAAGATCCAGCCTCATTCACCAGAACACAGGCACCAGTCCCCTCCACCAGGAAGCCTACACAAACCACTGAACCAACCTTAGCCACTGCGGGCAGACACCAAAAACGATAGGAACTACAAACCTGCAGTCTGCGAAAAGGAGACCCCATACACAGAGAGTTAAGCAAAATGAGAAGAAAGAAACACACAGCAGATGAAGGAGCAAGGTAAAAATCTAACAGAACAAACAAATGAAGAGGAAACAGGCAATCTACCTGAAAAAGAATTCAGAGTAATGATAGTGAAGATGATCCAAAATCTTGGAAATAGAATGGAGAAAATACAAGAAACATTTAACAAGGATCTAGAAGAACTAAAGAGCAAACAAACAATGATGATCAACACAATAAATAAATTAAAAATTCTCTAAAAGGAATCAATAGCAGAATAACTCAGGAAGAAGAATGGATAAATGACTTAGAAGATAAAATAGTGGACATAACTACTGCAGAGCAGAATAAAGAAAAGAGAATGAAAAGAACTGAGGACAGTCTCAGAGACCTCTGGAACAACATTAAATGCACCAATATTTGAATTATAGGAGTGTAAGAAGAAGAGAAAAAGAAAGGGACTGAGAGAATATTTGAAGAGCTTATAGTTGAAAAATTCCCTAATATGGGAAAGGAAATAGTCAATTAAGGCCAGGAAGTGCAGAGTCCCATACAGGACTAAAACTAGGATAAACATGCCAATACACATATTAACCAAACTATCAAAAATTAAATACAAAGAAAAAATATTAAAAGCAGCAAGGGAAAAGCAACAAATAACATACAAGGGAATCCCCATTAGGTTAACAGCTGATCTTTCAGCAGAAACTCTGAAAGACAAAAGGGAGTGGCAGGACATATTTAAAGTGATGAAAGGGGAAAACCTACAGCCAAGATCTACTCTACTCAGTAGGGATCTCAATCAGATTCGATGGAGAAATTGAAACCTTTACAGGCAAGCAAAAGCTAACAGAATTCAGCACCACCAAACCAGCTCTACCACAAATGCTAAATGAACTTCTCTAGGCAGGAAACACAAGAGAAGGAAAAGACCTACAATAACAAACCCAAAACAATAAAGAAAATGGTATAGGAATATAAATATTGATAATGACCTTAAATGTAATGGATTAAATGCTTCAACCAAAAGACACTGACTGGCTGAATGGATACAAAAACAAGAACCGTATATATGCTGTCTAAAAGAGACCCACTTCAGACCTAGGGACACAGACAGAATGAAAGTGAGGGGATGGAAAAAGATATTCCATACAAATGGAAATCAAAAGAAAGCTGGAATAGCAATACTCATATCAGACAAAATAGACTTTAAAATAAAGACTATTACAAGAGACAAAGAAGGACACTATGTAATGATCAAGGGATCAACCCAAGAAGAAGATATAACAATTGTAAAAATTTATGCACCCAACATAGGAGCACCTCAATACAAAAGGCAAATGCTAACAGCCATAAGAGGGGAAATCAACATTAACACAATCATAGTAGGGGACTTTAATACCCCAGTTTCACCAATTGACAGATCATCCAAAATGAAAGTAAATAAGGAAACACAAGCTTTCAATGACACATCAAACAAGATGGACTTAATTGATATTTATACAACATTCCATCCAAAAACAACAAAATGCACTTTCTTCTCAAGTGCTCATGGAACATTCTCCAGGATAGATCATATCTTGGGTCACAAATCAAGCCTCAGTAAATTAAAAAAAATTGAAATTTTTGTCAAGTATCTTTTTTGACCACAATGCTATAAGACTAGGTATCAATTACAGGAAAAAAAAATATGTGAAAAAAACAAACACATGGGGGCTAAACAATATGCTACTAAATAACCAAGAGATCACTGAAGAAATCAAAGAGGAAGTCAAAAAATACCTAGAAACAAATAACAATGAAAACACGACGACCCCAAACCTACAGGAATCAGCAAAAGCAGTTCTAAGAAGGAAGTTTATAGCAATACAGTCCTACCTCAAGAAACAAGAAACATCTAAAATAAATAACCTAACCTTACACCTAAAGCAATTAGAGAAAGAAGAGCAAAAAACCCCCAAAGTTAGCAAAAGGAAAGAAATCATAAAGATCAGTTCAGAAAAAAATGAAAAAGAAATGAAGGAAACAATAGCAAAGATCAATAAAACTAAAAGCTGGTTCTTTGAAAAGATAAGCAAAATTGATAAACCATTAGCCAGACTGATCAAGAAAAAAAGGGAGAACACTCAAATCAATAGAATAAGAAATGAAAAAGGAGAAGTAACAACTTACACTGAAGAAATACAAAGGATCATGAGATTACTATAAGCAACTATATGTGAATAAAATGGACAACTTGGAAGAAGTGAACAAATTCTTAGAAAAGCACAACCTTCTGAGACTGAACCAGGAAGAAATAGAAAATATAAACAGCCTAATCACAAGTACTGAAATTGAGACTGTGATTAAAAATCTTCCACCAAACAAAAGCCCAGGACCAGACGGCTTCACAGGAGAATTCTATCAAACATTTAGAGGAGAGCTAACACCTACCCTTCTCAAACTCTTCCAAAATATAGCAGAGGGAGGAACATTCCCAAACTCCTTCTACAAGGCCACCATCACCCTGATACCAAAACCAGACAAGGATGTCACAAAGAAAGAAAACTACAGGCCAATATCACTGATGAACATGGATGTAAAAATCCTCAACATAATACTAGCAAACATAATCCAACAGCACATAAAAAGGATCATACACCATGATCAAGTGGGGTTTACCCCAGGAATGCAAGGATTCTTCAATATACGCAAATCAATCAATGTGATAAACCATATTAACAAATTGAAGGAGAAAAACCATAAGATCAACTCAATAGATGCAGAAAAAACTTTCAACAAAATTCAACACCCATTTATGATAAAAACCCTCCAGAGAGTAGGCACAGAGGGAACTTACCTCAACATAATAAAGGTCATATATGACAAACCCACAGCCAGCATCATTCTCAGGGGTGAAAAACTGAAACCAATTCCTCTAAGATCAGGAACAAGACAAGGGTGTCCACTCTCACCACTATTATTCAACATAGTTTTGGAAGTCAGCCTCAGCAATCAGAGAAGTAAAAGAAATAAAAGGATTCCAAATTGGAAAAGAAGAAATTGAGCTGTCACTGTTTGCAGATGACACAATACTGTACATAGAGAATACTAAAGATGCTACCAGAAAACTGCTAGAGCTAATCAATGCATTTGGTAAAGCTGCAGGATACAAAATTAATGCACAGAAATCTCTTGCATTCCTATATACTAATGATGAAAAATCTGAAAGAGAAAATAAGGAAACAATCCCATTTACCCTTGCAACCAAAAGAATAAAATACCTAGGAATAAACCTACCTAAGGAGACAAAAGACCTGCATGCAGAAAACTATAAGACACTGATGAAAGAAATTAAAGATGATACCAACAGATGGAGAGACGTACCATTTTCTTGGATTGGAAGAATCAACATTGTGAAAATGACTATACTACCCATAGCAATCTACAGATTCAGTGCAATCCCTATCAAACTACTAATGGCATTTTTACAGAACCAGAACAAAAAATTTCACAATTTGTATGGAAACACAAAAGACCCCGAATAGCCAAAGGAATCTGGAGAAAGAAAAACGGAGCTGGAGGATCAGGCTCCCGGACTTCAGAGTATACTACAAAGCTACAGTAATCAAGACAGTATGGTACTGGCACAAAAACGAAAATATAGATCAATGGAACAGGATAGAAAGCCCAGAGGTAAACCCACGCACATATGGTCACCTTATTTTTGATAAAGGAGGCAAGAATATACAATAGAGAAAAGCCAGCCTCTTCGATTAGTGGTTTTGGGAAAACTGGACAGCTACATGGAAAAGAATGAAATTAGAACATTCCCTAACACCATACATAAAAATAAACTCAAAATGGATTAAAGACCTAAATGCAAGGCCAGACACTATAAAACAGTTAGAGGAAAACATAGGCAGAACACTCTATGACATAAATCACAGTAAGATCCTTTCTGACCCACCTCCTAGAGAAATGGAAATAAGAACAAAAATAAACAAATGGGACCTAATGAAACTTAGAAGCTTTTGCACAGCAAAGGAAACCATAAACAAGACTAATAGACAGCCCTCAGAATGGGAGAAAATATTTGCAAATGAAGCAACTGACAAAGGATTAATCTCCAAAATTTACAGGCAGCTCATGCAGCTCAATATCCAAAAAACAAACAAACCAATCCAAAAATGGGCAGAAGACCTAACCAAACATTTCTCCAAAGACATACAGATGGCCAAGCAGCACATGAAAAGATGCTCAACATCACTAATCATTAGAGAAATGCAACTCAAAACTACAATGAGCTATCACCTCACAGAGGTCAGAATGGCCATCATCAAAAAATCTATAAACAATAAATGCTGGAGAGGGTGTGGAGAAAAGGGAACCCTCTTGCACTGTTGGTGGGAATGTAAATTGGTACAGCCACTATGGAGAACAGTATGGAGCTTCCTTAAAAAAGTACAAATAGAACTACCATATGACCCAGCAATTGCTTTACTGGGCATATACCTTGAGAAAACCATAATTCAGAGTCATGTGCCACAATGTTCATTGCTGCACTATTTACAATAGCCAGCACATGGAAGCAACCTAAGTGTCCATCGACAGATGAATGGATAAAGAAGATGTGGCACATATATACAATGGAATATCACTCAGCCATAAAAAGAAATGAAATTGAGTTATTTGCAGTGAGGTGGATGGACCTAGAGTCTGTCATCCAGATTGAAGGAAGTCAGAAAGAAAAAAGTCACAAACCATATGCTAACACATATATATGGAATCTAAAAAAAAAAAAAAAAAGGTTCTGAAGAACCTAGGGGCAGGACAGGAATAAAGATGCAGATGTAGAGAATGGACCTGAGGACACGGGGCGGTGGGAAGGGTAAGCTGGGACGAAGTGAGAGAGTGGCATAGATTTATATATACCACCAAATGTAAAATAGCTAGCTAGTGGGAAGCAGCCGCATAGCACCGGGAGGTCAGCTCGGAGCTTTGTGTCCACCTAGAGGGGTGTGATAGGGAATGTGGGAGGGAGACACAAGAGGGAGGGCATATGGGGATATATGTATACGTACAGCTGATTCACTTTGTTATAAAGCAGAAACTAACACACCATTGTAAAGCAATTATACTCCAATAAAGATGTTAAAAAATAAAAGAAATGTGAATGTGTACAAATACTTTAGCCTGTCAAATTTCAGAAGGAACACACCCTTTGTGGTTTAACCATATTCAAATGATTCAGAGAATGCCTTAGGAGTCAATAATTCATGAAATTAATTAGCCTTATGGGTATATTAAACTTCCTGGTTGACAGCAATTGGAGATAGGTTAAAAAATAATCTTACAGTGCTCTACTCATAATACAGAAGTTAAAACTGAGCAAAAATTTATGTACAATGAATTTGTAGATAGCATTAAGTACACCGGATCCATCACAATATATTTTCTGAAAGCAAGATTCTTTAATTGAAAATAATTGTTCATTTCTATCACATTTAGAAACTTTAATAAATGAAAAAACTGCAATCTAGATATAAAATTTATCAGCTATTACTATCTTAAAGATAAAAGAATGTAAGATGAATTCTGGATTCTGCTCTTCCACATATCAAATAGTTACACTGTGACCACAAACTCATGGAAAAGTGGCAATGATGATATATGCCATATAAACTATAAGCTATAAAAAAAAAAAAGTAGAATCCTAATTGAATTTTCTTCTTCATCCACTTAAGCTAACTTAGGATGGTTTAATTCTTCTCTTAAAACTATAGGCTCATTAGACCTAGCCATGTGATTTGCATACTTTTCAGTGCCAATCAGCATTCTGAATGGTAAACTGTTTAGAGGAGAAGAAAATTCTAATGGAAATTTACCACAAAATAGCATTTTTCACTTACTTAAACTTCATTCAAGGCAATTCCACCTCTGGAATGCCTTAATTTTATTATGTTCTTTGGACACATATCTTTCAAATCACTGAGCTCTTACCATAATGCCCTTTTCCCCCTGGGGACCTAGTGGCCCTGGATTTCCACGTTCTCCCTTTTAAAACAAAGACAAAAGAAAAACATTGAGGCATGTTAATTAGTAATGAATGAGCTAAGCCTAGACAGGAAACTCATCCTAATTTTCAGTAATTTTTAAATTAACAAATTTTGCATTTTTACCCTAAAGTTGCTAGCCTTTTAATAAAAATCCTCTTAAGATACTTTTTAAGTGATAAAATACTAAAAAGTCTTATTAAAATGATGAAAATAGAAATTATGAATAATCAAGACTTAAAATTGAGCACGCATCGTAGAAATTCTTATAATTTTGAGACATATAAAATATAAGAACTGTAAAAGTATGAAAGCATATTGTAAAAATTAAGTGTATAACCATTGAACAAAATTTTATTTCTGTAATCTGTCCATCACAATGAAGCATAATCATGATAATCACATATGCCATAGCAGATTATAGGTCTAAACTGATTTACATTAAAATCCCAAGACTTTTCAACATGTTAGTGTAGAAAATTTAACCTAATACAGAAGTAACTAAACCAGAATGAAAAAAGTACAAAACCATCTAAATTTTTTGAACTGATGTCATTTTATATTTGTTATATTGTTAATAAAAAAAATCAACAAGTATATATCAATCACTTTTAATGTACTAAGTGAGAGTTGGAGAGATATAACAGATATTTGACTTAGACCCTACCCTCAAGTAATTGAAAACATGACATTAACAAAGATGAATCAATTAAAGGACAATGAAATTTTAAATCGTGTGGTACTTATTCTAAGCCCAGGAAGGGAAGAAACCAGGAAGGATGAGAATAATCTGGAAAGACTTTACAGAGGAGATAGGAATTTAATTGAGTAGTGTAGTTTGGCTTTGAATAAATAGAGGGAAGCGGAGAGGATACTCTAAACCAAGAAAACAGTAAGAATAAGAATAGGGACAAGTATGAAATATGAGATGGGGAGCAAGAAAGGTTTATACTGGAGAATATTAGAAAATTTGTTGGATGAACTGATTAAGCCAAAATCACATAGTATCTTGACAGCAAAGTAGAGCCATTAACAGACTTCAACAATAGGGAGGCTAATGAAGGTTCTTCAAAATGCTTTATCATGACCCATCAGAATTAGTCTTCTGCTTACAGTATGTAGGCTGGATTAAAAGATAGGGAAAGGGTAGCGTAAATATGATAGAGGGTAAATTTAAGATAAACTAATAAGAGTACGTCTGAGGCAGTAGCTTTGGATCGACTATTGGAAAGGAGAAACTGTAAAGAAAAAACTCTAAGACCTGCTAAAAGATTAGGCATAGAGGATGGAGGAAAAGGGAAATGCAAAGATGGGTGCACTCTATCTATTCTGGAAGACTGGAAGAATAGAGATAGGTATAAGGCATACTAATAGAAATGAGATAATTGGGAAGAGACCAGTTTGGATGTGGGGAAAAAAATGATGAATTTTAAATACTGGGTTGGCCAAAAGGTTCGTTTGTTTTTTTCCGTAAGATGGCTCTAGTAGCACTTAGTTGTCTTTAACTTCATTCGAAACAATTTTGTTAGATTGTATTATGACAGCTGTCATATCAGCATGCATTTAAAAATATTATCAAAATTGGTGAATTTTTGTGTAGCCATTTTAATACTGAAGATGGAAGAAAAAAGCAACATTTTTCTGCATATTATGCTTTATTCTTTCAAGAAAGGTAAAAACACAACTGAAACGCAAAAACATGATTTGTGCAGTGTATGGAGAAGGTGCTGTGACTGATCAAACGTCTCAAAAGTGGTTTGCGAAGTTTTGTGCTAGAGGTTTCTTGCTGGACGATGCTCCACAGTCGGGTAGACCAGTTGAACTTGATAGCAATCAAATCAAGACATTAATTGAGAACAATCAATGTTATAGCACAATATCCAAATCAAGCGTTGAAAATCATTTCCACCAGCTTGGTTATACTAATTGCTTTGATGTTTGGGTTTCACATAATTTAAGCAAAAAAAACCTTCTTGACCATATTTCTGCATGTGATTCTCTAGTAAAACATAATAAAAATGTTCCATTTTTAAAACAAATTGTGATGGGCGATGAAAAGTGGAAACTGTACAATAATGTGGAAAGGAAGAGATGGTGGGGCAAGTGAAATGAACCACCACTAAACACACCAAAGGCCGGTCTCATCCAAAGAAGTTGACGCTGTACATATGGTGAGATTGGAAGGGAGTCCTCTATTACGAGCTCCTTCCAGAAAACCAAACGATTAATTCCAACAAGTACTGCTCCCAGTTAGACCAACTGAAAGCAGCACTGGATAAAAAGCGTCCAAAATTAGTCAACAGAAAACTCATTATCTTCCATCAGGATAACGCATGACCACATGTTTCTGTGATGACAGGAAATAAAAACTGTTACAACTGGGCTTCCCTGGTGGCGCAGTGCTTGCGAGTCCGCCTGCCGATGCAGGAGACGCGGGTTCGTGCCCCGTTTCGGGAAGATCCCACATGCCGCGGAGCGGCTGGGCCCGTGAGCCATGGCCGCTGAGCCTGCGCGTCCGGAGCCTGTGCTCCGCAAATGGGAGAGGCCACAACAGTGAGAGGCCCGCATAACGCAAGGAAAAAAAAAAAAAAAAACTGTTACAACTTGGCTGAGAAGTTCTGATTCACCCGCCGTATTCACCAGACATTGCACCTTCCCTGGAAGACTGTAAAAGGCACCTGGAACAGTTCTTTGCTCAAAAAACATAAAAAGTTTTGGGAAGATGGAATTATGAAGTTGCCAGAAAAATGGGAGAAGGTAGTGAATAAGTTGTTCAATAAAGTTCTTGGTGAAAATGAAAAATGTGTCTTATTTTTTACCTAAAAACTGAAGGAACCTTTTGGCCAAGCCAATATGTTGAGTTTGACTTAAATTAAAAATTTCAGATGGAAATAACTGGAATATTATCTAACTTACTTCTAATCCTGGCTCTACTTAATTATTCACAAAGAGTAGCCTTGCACATTAGACTATCATGCTTCTGTTTTATAGTCAGCAAGTCAGGTTTCAGTCAAAGACCAAGTTTTTGGTTTATTACCTACTAGTTCATTATAAGATTCTATTAAAAAAAATTCAAGAAAATGCCCTTGCTGGTTTCAAATAAAGAATTACTTTTTTTTTTTTTTTAAAAAAAAGACTTTCCTATATTTGAAATTCAATATGGAAAATCACTCCCAAGATAATGATTTCTAGGAAATTCTTAAGCAAATTACAATTTCCATCACAATAGCCAAGAAGATCTTTGAAAAACTTCATACTGAATTCCAAGAGGAGATAGTTTGTGACTGAAACTTGGATCAGAGAAAGTGATAACTTATTCTTCACCTTCAAAACTGTTTCCTTTAGGAGCTTGTTCTCAAAAGTGGATTTAAATATTTTCTAGTCATAAACCTAGACCATCAATTTCATCTTTTCTCTTCAGAGCACATCATTACAGCCAAAAGAGTACTCTGCCTTTTAAAAATTAGAAACATACATGCTATCAGCTATATTTCAATATATTTAAGAGATTCAGTACAGGTAATGCATTTTAAGTTATGAGTAATTTCTAATTTCTAATTCATAAAATATCATATGACTGTCTCTCCTTTGAGTTTAGCTTAGAATCCTTACTATTGAACAAAACAATGAAAGAAATTACCTTTTCACCAGTGCTTCCAGTCATTCCAACTTCTCCAGGTGAACCGACAGGTCCCTTTTAGGAAAAAATATAATAGAAAATACACATATATTGTATTACTATTATAGCATCCTGGTTTTAAATCACCTATAAACATGATGTTTCTTTCTAACTCATCCTAAATTTTATCTTAGAGTAAAATTCCTCCTGGTATAGGCATCCGGCCTAAGACTTCACATCAGAGTTAATTATTCAGTTAATCAACAAATATATATGAATGTCTAATATGTGACAGGCTGGCTGCTGGGAGGCACTGAGTTTCAAATTCAAACATAGTCCCTATCCTTGTAGAACTTACAGTCCAGTGGATGTCATAAAAACTCCTGCTGTTTTTGTAGATTCTTGATGTGGATACACTAGCTTAAGAAATCATTTCTGTGACTTCCTTCTTTGAAAGCTCCTCAACACATGAGGGAATAGCACATACCCACTCGTTAATTCATTCAAAAATATTTGGTGCCTACTTTGTGCCATGCACTATGCTGCTTGCTGAGATTTCATTAGGAAGCAAAAGGAGATCTAGGCCCTGCCCTGATGAGGCAAAAATTCTTGTAACAGAAACAAGAACAACTAAATTAGAAAGTGAACATTTGTAAATTATGATACAGGTTCACAAAGGAAACTGTGATGCTGAGGTGGAGAATAAAAGACAAGACCTATTTTAGGAAAGATGGTCAGGGTAAACCTGAGACCTGACATTTAAACTGAAAGCCGAAAAATAAAAAGAGGCCAGCCAGCCAAGCACAGAAAGGAGGAAGAGAGTTCTAGGTGGAGAAAATAGCTTGAAGTAAACAATGAATTTCGCAGAAGAAGTGAAAGAAGGCAATCAGTACCACTGTTTCAGAGTGAACAACGCTCAGGGTGCCTCTAGCTTTGTCTCTATGGATTCTACTTCAAGCAGTGTAGAAAGCAAAACTGGTAACGCAGAACGAGCTTTACAACGAGAGTATAATCCTTCTCCCTGACTGTCTTCAATTATGAAGTTATTTTCTACTTTTATTTAAAAATGTATGAAACATTTTCTTTTGCAATAGCTACCGAGCAAAGACACTATTTAGATGATATAATATTACATATTAGCATATAGAAGGTACCTGAATCATGAAAAAATGGTTTGCTGTGTTGAAGCTACCTGAAGTTCATGTATGGGGCATGATTTTATCCACAAAAATTGGGTTGGCCAAAAAGTTTGTTCGTGTTTTTCCTGCTCTTACGTAAGATCTTACAGAAAAACCCAAACGAAGTTTTTGGCCAACCCAATATCTATATCCTCATCCATATCTATCTATCATCTATCTATCTATCTAGTGACTATGTATACATTAACATATGTTAAATACTTTCTGTGTGTCTGATTTAATCCTCACAACAACTATATTTGGTAGTATTTTCATGATTCCCCTTTAACAGATGAGGCAGATGAGTTAAGAAGCTTTCTAAGGTAGATGAGTTTAAGTGGCTGTTGAACGCTTGAAATGTGGCTAGTCCAAATTGACATGTACTTAAATGTAAAAGGCACACTAGATTTCAGAGACCTACTACAAAAAGAATGCAATTTTTGTGCAATTTCTATCCATATCTTCTGCCCAAATTTTGCTCTTGAGGTTGCCTATATTTTTTTGTGATAATTTTCAGGAATTCTTATACATTCAAGGTATAAACTCCTTGCTGATTTTAGATGTTATAAATTCCTTCTTGTGATTCATTACCTGTGAGATTATTTTGACATCCTTCATTGATAGAAATCCTTAATTTTGATGTAGCCACATCCAACCATTTTTTGCCTTATGATTTGTATTTTCTGGATCTTGTTTAAGAAGCCTTCCTCTACCTTTATGTCACTAGGTAATGGGCATTCTTTTCTATTAGTGTTAACTTTTTAAGGTAGGTCTTTAATCCATCTAGCGTTCATCTTTTTCACCAGGTGTGAGATAGAGATCCAACTAAATTTTTTCCACATAGTGACCCAGTTTTCCAAATACTATACATACTAAAATTTATTTTTCCCATTAATTCATGGTGTCAATCTTTTAAAAAATTTTATCGAGCTATAAATGACATACAACAATATATTAGCTTTAGATGTACAGCATAATGATTCAATATTTGTATATATTGTGAAATGATCACCACAGTAAGTCTAGTTAATATCCCTCATCACCATACACAGTTACAGAATTTTTTTCTTGTGATGAGAACATTTAAGATTGACTCTCTTGGTGACTTTCAGATAGGCAATACAGTATTATTAACTATAGCTTCTATGCTGTACATTACATCCCCGTGGCTTAGTTATTTTATAACTGGAAATTTGTACCTTTTGACCCCCTTCACCTATTTTGCCCACCCCTCAGCCCCTGCCGCTGGCAACCATCAATCTATTCTCTGTATCTATGAGCTTGGTTTAAAAATTATTTTTTTTAGATTCCACATATACGTGAGATGATATGGTATTTGTCTTTGACTTATTTCACTTAGCATAATGTCCTCAAGGCTCATCCATGTTGCCACAAATAGCAAGATGTACCCTTTTTATGGTTGAATAGTGTTCCATTGTACACATAAACCACATCTTCTTTACCCATTCATCCATCGATGGAAACTTAAAAAGGTTGTTTCCATATCTTGGTTATTGTAAACAATGCTTCAGTGAACATGGGGGTGCATATATATTTTCAAATTCATGCTTTTGTTTTCTTCAGATAAATACCTAGAAGTGGAATCTTATGGTAGTTCTATTTTTAAGTTTTTGAGGAACCTCCATATTGTTTTCCACAGTGGCTGCACCAGTTTACATTCTCACCAACCGTGCACGAGGGTTCCCTTTTCTCCACATTCTCGCCAACACTTGTTATTTCTTATCTTTTTGATAACAGCCATTCTAACAAGTGTGAGGTGATATCTCATTGTGGTTTTGATTTGCATTTCCCTGATGATTAGTGATGTTGAGCATCTTTTCCTTTGCCTGTTGGCCATCCGTACATCTCATTTGGAGAAATACCTATTCAGACCCTCTGCTCATTTTTAAATCAAATTGCTTGTTTTTTGCTATTGAGTTGTATGAGTTTTTTTTTTTAATAATGTTATACTACCCCTTCAAGTAGCCCAGCGTGTTTTCTATAGATTCTGTCAATTATTGCTGTATTCTAATGAGGTTTTATTTTTTGTTGTTTTTTTTTGTTTTTTTTAAAGAAGATGTTGGGGGTAGGAGTTTACTAATTAATTTATTTATTTTGGCTGCGTTGGGTCTTCGTTTCTGTGGGCTTTCTCTAGTTGTCGCAAGCGGGGGCTATTCTTCATCGCGGTGCACGGGCCTCTCACTATTGCGGCCTCTCTTGTTGCGGAGCACAGGCTCCAGACGCACAGGCTCAGTAGTTGTGGCTCACGGGCCTAGTTTCTCTGCAGCATGTGGGATCCTCCCAGACCAGGGCTCGAACCCGTGTCCCCTGCATTAGCAGGCAGATTCTCAACCACTGCACCACCAGGGAAGCCCTGTATGAGTTCTTTATATATTTTGGCTATTAGCTCCTTATCAGATATATGATTTGCAAACATTTTCTTCCATTCACTAGGTTGCCTCTTCATTTTCTTAATGATTTCCTTTGCTATGCAGAAGCTTTCGAGTTTGATGTAGTTCCACTTGTTTATTTTTGCTTTTATTGTCTTTGCTTTCGGTGTCAAATCCAAAAAAATCTGTGGTGCCATTCTTATAACATTTTATACATGGCATATTTCTAAGCTCTCTACTCTAGTACATTAATTATTTCTCTGTTTTCTCCTCTTTGAAAATTCTCTCACTCATTTTTTTCTAATGTTTTTATAGCTATTCCTACTACAGAACTGAAAATAAGCACTCTAAAACAGGTTTAGATCAGTAGTAAAGAATCTGAACTACACAGGCTTTATATCTACTTACTCTTTAACTCTATATTACTGTTTAATCTGAAAACTATCCACACACCAGGAAATCAACAGGTGAATCAGATGAACACATTTAGAGTTGAGGCCTCTCAAACTTCCTTAAACCTAGGATGTTATTGATTCTAAGATGCACTATTACTTTTGTATCTCTAAAGAGAAAAAGATTCTTCCAAGTAATTTAATTCACCACTGATTGTAAGAAACATCCTAATTTTACAAATACTAAAATGTGAAAAAAAATTGTATTATTGTTAAAAATATTCACTGCTCCTTTCTGTCAAAAGAGTACACATCCCTGCATTTCTGATGTCAGCCTTGGCCATGTGGCTTGCAGTGTCAATGGCAAAAATATAATCCTCCATCTTGTTGACATCTGGCTTCTCTATGTAACTTACTTTGACCAAATAAAAGTGAGTGTGTGTGGTAGTGATATGTGCCACTTTTTAAGCCAGTTTCTTTTTTTCCCTCTACCCTGAGGTCAGCCATGTCCCAGATAGGAGCTGCTCCTGAAGCCTATGTGTCAGAATGCAGAAGAGATGGATAGAGCCACAGCCGACCAACAGCGGACAGAGTGCAAGTAGCAAGCAAACTTTTGTTGTCATAAGCCACTGATATTTTGAGGGTGTTTCTTTCTGCAGCAAAACTTAGCCTAATGTGACTGATGCAACTTGTATTTTAGAATTGATGAAATCTGGTACTTGTTTGCCTGAAAAACAGGTGATTTTCCTTCACTTTCTTCTAACCTATGTACTAAAGGCCCTAGGAGATGGTGGAGCCATAAGAAAAAAGGAAGCCGGGCATCTCAGTCACTTTGTCAGAGAGAGCTACCTGGTAATACCCACACTGGACTATTAACATGAGCAAAAACAACTTCTTATCAAGTTAAGCCTACAAAAAATTTTAGGTTTATTTGTTATAGCTGTTAATATTCTCCTAAAAATACATTAAATTAAACTATGTGTTGACATAAAATTGAAAAACTTTGTAATCTATCTCAATTGGCTTATTCAAAAGTTAGTCTCACAGAAACCTTTTTATAAATGAAGATGGTATAAAGTGCTCTGAACCAACCTCTGGTTTTGATTGCAAATCAA